CTTAGAGAACATATTGAGGCTTTTACAGAGTGTGCAAAATGCATTTGGTCAATAGAAACATTTGAATCTTTTCCTCTTTCTCTCTCTTATATCTAAAAAACATAAAATCAAACACAAACAGAATAAAATACTGGTTTTGCAACCTGGTCTGTACAAACAGTCAGGAACGTACATATTGAAAAAGAGCTTGAACCCAAGAAAGAGTATAAGATTACCTCTTTTTAAAAAAAAAAAAAAAAAAGTAAACTGGGATGTAAAACAACAGTCTCAGGCCAACACTTATTGGTCAAGTTTGCTAAGTGCACGAGTCTTCTTTACTTTCCACACCAAGCCAACCCACTCTGATCCAGTAATACACATGTATGTGTGTGTGTGTGTGTGTGTTACATGTGCATGAGTGAAGTGTACTGTATCAGTCTCTAAGTACAACTAGAAAAGTTATTGCCAGTAACAGCTGCAGTCAGAATATCAGGCTGTCGACCATATGAAATCATTCTGGTCAATGAGAAGTAACTCTTCCGAACCATTTGGATTCGCATCCAAATTGTAATAAACGGCACACCTTTTCAATGAAGCAGCAACTAGGTAGATCTGCTTGGAGAAACCAGTTCTTTCAAAGCTGACTGGGAAAAAACTTTTTCCATTAATGAATTTGAAATGCTCAAGAGAAGCTATTCAAGATTTGAGGTTCCCCCAACGAAATCTCCTTCATGTGGACTCCAATGTGTTCAGCTGAAACAAGTTGTGATTGGTTGGGGTGGTAAAATACAGCTGGTCCGCAGGCGAACGGTTGTCACATGGGCTGTTGAGTCCCAAAGTTCTTTCAAAGTCAAGAAGCTGTCCCATAAAGTTGAAATTGGGGGAAATGTTGGACTTTTTCCTTTTCACAAAATCGTAGGCGTCATTCAGAGACAAATTGAGCTTCTGCATTAAATAGGCCACAGTTACTGTTACAGACCTGCTAATGCCAGCAAGGCAGTGGACTAGAATGCCACACTTCTTGGAACGGGCCTCATCTGCAACAGGAAGGAACATGTAAGATTTCTGAACAACAACAACGAAAGGAGAGGGGTTTATAAAGCAAGGATAGAATAGGGAAGTTCAACTTAAATCAGGGCTGTCAAACTCCCGGCCCGCAAGCCGGATGCATCACTCGCTGGCCACGCCCATGCCCAGTTTAGCAAAGGGGAAAGAAGTCCCGATATGACGCTGCCGTGACAACGTGAGTTTGACACCCCTGACTTAAAGCTTATAATAAATGCACTTTGAATTAAGCAGTTTTTCTTCACAATTCAATGTTCCCTTGAGTCTCACATGCTGCCTAGATGCAAAGACAATCAGATTGGTGTAATCAGGACAGTTAAATATTAGTTCATGCTATCTTGCCACATAAAGACGTAAACAATTGATATAATTGGAAATGATAAAGAAATAAGCCAGACATATCTTGAGAAGAATGACAGAAGTTACAATAATAGTTTTGCATTCAAAGTTCCTGGAACCTTTTAAAGACACAGCTTGCTTAATCCTTGTTTCTGTTCGATATTAATCAGCATTTGGCTGGCTGACTTACAACTAGTTAAGTTGAAAAATGTTGATAACATTTTTGTTATGATAAAAAATAGTACTACAAAGGAAAGAACTTGAGTGAATAGTTTTTGTTTTCCAAATCAACCCAATTAGGTTCAAGTGGATGTTAAAGATCGAACATTTATTAAAAGTCTTTAAAAGAACATCCTTTTTCATTATATTCAAATAGACAGTGGGGCTTAAAGAAACTATGGTTTCTTACTTAAGGGTGAACAGACTAAAAGCATCAGCAGTAACTGAAGAATGTTAATTATGATATCTACACAACAAATATTACATCCCAATCCTAAATAAAGTTATCTGATATCTTTACAATAAAGAAAGGATAAGACTGCAACTCCATGTATGTGTCTCTATACTTAGCTTCAGGCATTTATTTTACCCTATGCAACAGGTTTTCCTGTTGTTTTCCTTTGCATATCTCAGATCTCCTCTGAAGGATCCCAGAACGGATGGAGAGTAATTAACAATATATTCCACTGATGGGACACCATTGATACAATATATTCTTACACACATTCATTGATATCAACATGACTATGAAAGGACACATGTTGAGGGATGGATTTTATGTCTGGAAAAAAATTGTAATTTAGCTAAGGAACAGAATGTGAGAGTTCATAAACTCCAAATAAAATTTAAGGAATGAACTTATTGTCTTTTCATTTCGTATCATGGTCCAAGCCATTAATCAGTGCCAGACCACTCAGCATTGTCTTCTAAATAAATAAATAAATCTCCAAATGTGTGGTAGTGTTCTATTTGAACACATTTTTTTCTATTTTAATCTGTAATCATTTCCTGTTCTAAAAACCAAACTGTGGTTTGCATAGGAGAGGATGTTTTGACTAAGCTAGTATCTAAATACCACATTCCACAAACAGCCCTTTAAGCAAATACAAAACTTTTGATCAACTGACATACTACAAAAACAAAGGCCAGCTTGTATCTCTCTGGGAATCAGTATCTAAGCCTGCACTTTCTATAAAAATATGAATTTAGAATATATGGAACATCAGGGAGAACACAACTTTGATTTATTTACATTTAACAATTCACTCAAGCACATGTTGCTGCTACAGTAAGAGCCTGGCCAGTGGCTACATTATTTGTAGCATATGTAATGTGGCAGATAAACTGCAGTACAATTGCAATTTTAAAAATGAAATGGGCCAGAAATACTGAAGGAGAAAATTCAATTTTTAAAATAAAAATCTTGTATTTTAGCTCTCTGCTTCAACATGTTGGAGCCAATAATGCCTACAGTAATATTATCTGGTTCACATAAGAATGTCCTCAGGTGACTTTAACATACTAATGAACCAATATATGTACGAAGACTAACTTTAATGATCAAATGGTAGATGGGTGGAGGTGTGTTTTGTTTGTGAGAGCCAGAGCCAGGTTTTTTGAGGTTACTTAATCTGAACAGGAGAATGGTTGGCAACTTTGGTAGGGTTCCAATGGTATATACTTAGCAGCGTGGAATGTTTCCAGGACACAGGAATGTGAAGAAGGAAGCTACTCTCTTCTCCTAAGCAACTCTGACACAAGGTTTAATCAGGATATCATGGAACCATGCTGACCATATAAGCGTCAACATTTAACCTGAGAAAGGATTCAAGACATTGGGTTGGAATTGATTTTTGCCTGAAATATATTGGGGGGGAGGAATGTGTAAACCTCTAAAACAGAAATCAAAAGCCTTACCCAATTCATTCCCTGTAATATATTCCAAATGTTATCATTTTTAATTCATTGAAGTCAGATGGTGAATAATCTTTTGGCTTTAACTGGAATGAAGCCTGCAGCCAAACTCAGTTATATTTAAAGCTTATAAATGCTGGCACATTTACCGGTACCTACTAACTTACACATGCCAAATCTAAACTTAGACAAATGAAATCTATAGCAAGCAGATAGCAGCAAGAGCAGAAAACAGCAAGATTATGATAGAACACCACCCAAAAGGGCTGTGACGTCAAGAACAGGATGCCCACACCTACCAATGAAAGCGATGGCTTCAGGAAAGAACTGGGAGAGATTCTGACTCCAGTGATCCGAGATGGGAATCTGTTTGTACTTGAACTCTCCATCGTGCTCAAACATGTTGGGAAGATTGGGAGTGACGTTCAGAATGTACTTGATGCCGTATTTGCCCAAGACATCCAAGTTGCTGGAATCTTTGGCACAACCCAGATACAAATAAGGAAGAATCTGGACAGGAAAAGCCGGCTGGTTGTTTGGGATTGGGCTCCCATCAGACTCTGTGGCACTGCTGGGCTCCCGGTCGGATTCTCCATCGGAGCAATCAGAGCTTATCCTCAGTCCTCCCAGACCAAGGACAGAGGCAGGAGGAGAGTTGGTTGGAGAAGAACTGTCAAGATTGGTTTCACAATGCTCTGAGTATTCTGTCTGAAATTTATTGAATCCACCTGTGGGAGGTGAAGAGAAAATATGCTTTAATGCTTTAATGTTTCTCAAAAATCGGTGAGGTCTTAGAAATTTGCTCTTTAAATATAATCTTCCCCAAACCATGATTGTGGATTTAAAGAAATTTTATGCTGTAAAATACCACTTTCCCTGGGAGGCCCAGAAAATTCCTTGAATATGAAATCAATCTTAAACTAAAACAGGATTAACAACACATGAATATATGTATTTAACAGCAAGACAGCTGGAGCCACATTGGGGGCCTCAAAAGAAATACTACATGCAGAAATAAAAAAAAACTTAAGACAATCTGAAGATTAAAATCACCTTAATTTATTTCAGTTAACTGTGTACATAAGGCTGCTACATGATTTTCTCAACCTCTGCCATAGTAATCTCAGCTGCCAACTCACCAAAACAGGCCTGGCCTGTTCCTATATTTTAAACAGCAGCCTAACACGCAGTCCTCTAATCAGAAAGTTTTTACACCATGGAGACAAGTGTTATCTCACCGCCACTGTCTGCAGATCACATTGAGCAGAAGACAGTAAAATGTTAAGAATCCTAAAGGTGATGGTACCAATATAGCAAGAACTTTAACAGCACTATGCAATTTTACAGACATTTCCTTAAAGCTCTATTACATTTACATTAACCTGTTGCCAATAAAAGTGTTTAGAATTGTGTTTTAAGTGTCACTGATTTACTGAATCATGTTACCAGAGTCTCTTATTTTGTTTTGTCTCTTGAGGTTAACTCTTCCCAAAACTGTGTCACGGCATTTTAATTAAAGATAGACACATATTGGATTAATAGATGGTATGTATATTTTAAAAGTTAGTACATTACACATGTTGCTTCTTCATCCCAACTTGCTAAAGAAGTCTTTGATGCAACTTGCATCATCACATCAATCAGTGGGACAACTTGCCTCTAGAGGCTGTGAATGCTCCAACACTGGACGTTTTTAAGAAGAGATTGGATAAACATTTGTCTGAAGTGATGTAGGGTTTCCTGTCTAAGCAGGGGGTTGGACTAGAAGACCTCCAAGCTCCCTTCCAACTCTGTTGTTCTGTTCTATTCTATTCTATCAGACAAAGCCCAATTTGAATGATTGCAACCTTAAAAGAATGACAAAATGCAGAATCCATACATTCCACTTCAGCAAGCTATCTTCCTGCACTCTCTACCCTTATGTTTACTTCCTGTCTAAGGAAGCATTTGGAGAACTCAAAAATGGAATCTTATTTTGTAAAACTTGCTTGGCCTTAGGAAAGTTATTGCCTTAACATCAGTTCTGTAGCAAATGTAGTTTATATTTTTTTAAAATTTGTGTACATAGGTTGGAGCCCTATACGCCAACAAGCAGCATTTAAATGAACTTTTTGGGTTTGGATCTTTTCCTTAACAACTACTTTTTGCACAAGAACGTATGGAGAAAAGGAAGCAATTAAAGAAGTATTCAATCATTCCACAGGCATTCTTTAAGAAAAAGTGGACAACCAATTTGAGGAAGCATACAGACACACTCTTACTTTTTGATTTAAAGGAAAAAGTAGTAAAATTAAGATTTCCGAAGTTTGGGATCAAAGGTTATTCAATTTTTGAGGGGCTCCTGTGTTCTTAGAAATCTGTAGGAGGCAGAAATTCAGCAGCTGTAGCTTTTTCAAGACTATTCAGTTATAAGATGCTTCACCTGCTAAATTACCTAGTACACATTTACAGAAGTCCTGTTGAATAAGGTGACAAAACTGAGAATAAGAGATTTCCAGTTTACTTATCAAGGATGTTTAAAGACACAGATTAGAGGGAAATGATTTAGCTTTAAATGGACAAGTAATAAATTAAAAATAATAACAGGTATACACAAGCCACTCTGTATCTGTAGGAGAATTTGAGACAGGAATGGAAACTTCATTTGTTAACAAAATTGCAATATGTGAATATTCCTTGCAATCAACTAAATAGCTAAATGTATAGTTATGATCACAGTAAAAAAAAGAGCTACATATATAGATATGTGCCCAAATAATGTTTATCTATATTCAGTGTTCTACTTATGTTCATGGAACCTGAAATTCTCTCCTGAATATTTAATAGGCATCCAAGCAACACTTTACAAATCAGTACCACTATAAAAGATCTAGAGATATGTAAATGGCCTGGCACAGTTGGAATAAAGTCACCAAACAGAGTTCAGCTGTATTCATAAACAGGAAGGGGAGAATCGGGTTTCTTTTTCCCCCTCCTGAAAAAGAAAGACAATATGAAACAGCCATTTTGGAATTTTAATTAGAAACATTTCCCATTCAGGCTCTCTTCTAAATCAGAAGAGGAGAGGAAAAGAGAAAATTATTAGCTTAACTCTTCCATTTTTCCTGTTAAAAGGCTAGTTTAAAGGAACTGAGACTGTCAAGAGGAAAGATTGAGGGTATTAATATAGCACTTGGCCTGAATAATTTTAAAAACACACCTTACATGTACCAAGAAAGATACTGAAAAAGAAACATTGGGGCAATGCACAGGAAAGCTTTCACTGAACTGCTTATACATACATACACATACATACATACATACATACACATACATACATACATACATACATACATACATACATACATCATACATACATGAAGAGATCTCCTATTCTAAGAACAATTTCTTCCTTCTGCATTATTTAGTACTTCCTTTTCCTTGAGCTGTTTGTAAATCTGTAATTTTAATTTTACTTACACAGTAGAAAGAG